CTTGAAGATAAATTTATATTTGATGTGGTTCTATGATAATGGTTCATTGATAATATAAACGCCTTCTTACCTCAATATTAGGTTCCAAGTGTATTTAAATTACCAATTACTTCCTCTAACGATGAATTAACCCACGTGAAATCTTATATATTTGGAAGCTTTCATATTAACATCCTCCAAGAGATGACCATGTTTACAATAATTTATGTTAATCAAAATTTAACCAAATAGACTTATCGTTGACATCGTATCAGTCAATGATTCATTCTTTTTTTCAGTGGGAAGATTTAGTTATTCATGCTTATTGATCTCTATATTCACTCAAAAATTTTCCTTCAACTGAGTGTAGAGTTTGTGCACTCATTTGGTGAGCCTGTTAGCACAAATTAGGTTTAGCTTCACCCATCTTCAATCAAGTCATATTTGAAGCACATCAATCTCCAATTCCCTCAATTTAGTTTAAGAAGAAACTTAAACAAACTAATTTCTACCCATTTGACTTTCTTAATTAACTCAACATCTTAAGATCATCAATTGTTTGCTTGATCCACATTTGATGCTTGCTGAAAGCTTAGACCTACTGCAGTTCCCAACTTGATTTTCTTTAGTTGATGCTTGTCACAATTCAAAACCTTAGAGTTGTTACCTTAAATTTTATCTTCATGCCTTTATTCATGTTAGTTTCATCTCATGACCCAACTAGGGCTGTCAAAACGGCTCGTTGTTCGTGAAAAGCTCGTGTTCGGCTTGTTAAGAAAGTCGTGTTCGGCTTGTTAAGAAAGTCGTGTTCGACTCGTTCGCTAAGTTAACGAGCCGAACATGAACAACTCAAACCAATATTTGTTCGTTCATGTTCGGCTTGTTTTGACTCGAAATACTACTAATCAATTATATATATATATTTTTTATGAGTAGTATTTTTTAAAAATTTAATTGACTACAAGACTACAAAGATTTATAATCAATTAAAAGTATTAATGAACAAAATAGAATAAAAATTATTAAATTAGATTCAAATTATGTTTTAAATTTTGCCCCAATCCTTAACATCTTATGGTTAGATGATTAGAGTTGTTAAAATGACTCTTTGTTCGTGAACGGCTCGTGTTCGGCTCACAAAACAAACGATTTGAGCTCGAAATATAAACGAGCCGAACAGAGCTGAGCCTGGGCTCGCTCGTGTTTGGCTCGTTTACACCCTTAGACCTAACTTATATGAATTTGCCTTCTTGACATTATTATACTATAACATTTTGTAGGCAATTTGAAACTCCAAAAACTACCATCTTAATTCCATTATTGGTAGTCTTATTTTTAACCTTGATAAAAGATTGGCATTCTAGAGATATTATTTAGCTCTTTTTGGATGGGCTCGATCGTGTTTGGCTCGTTTACATCCATAGACCCAACTTATATGAATTTGCCTTCTTGACATTATTATACTATAACATTTTGTAGGAAGTTTGAAACTCCAAAAACTACTATCTTAATTCCATTATTAGTAGTCTTATTTTTAACCTTGATAAAAGTGTGGCATTCTAGAGATATTATTTAACTCATTTTGGCTGTCTTGATCTTTTTATTGGTTGGTTTCTTGAAAGTGAAATCTCAGCACATCTCACTGTAATACCTTGATAGCAACTTAACATTTTAGTACAATTTATCATGAAAGTCACACTCTTTATAGATAGCCTATGATCCTCAGATTCATAACTTATGTGCCTTCTGTTTCTATGGGCTCATCATTTCACCATCTCACTCTTCTTGAAGCTTTTCCATTAGCTCAATGTCTAGGAGTCATCAACATAGCCAACCTGTTTTTGACATCCTCTTTGATCCCTTATTATCACACCTACGTAACACTCTCTTCTTAGCACTTATTAGCTGTTATGCATTATAAAGATACCGGGATGCATATTCTTTGAGTTTCATCTTAGTTTAATTCTCCTCTTGATAAGTACCATCCTTCTTCTTGGTAGATGCTGACATCTTCTTGTTGCCTTTCAATAAGTTGATTATGCATCCTTAGTAATTCACCATCTTGATATGTCATCAAATTCTCCTTTTCAATAACTTCTAAACTTCTTGACAAGTTGATGACAAATCCTTTATCTCTATAATTTCAACTTTTAATATCAATTATCCTATATTGATAACTAAACACACTAGAGCCATGAATTAGGAACTACCCTTCATAAAGTATTTATTTCCCTTGGCACATACATCTCTCATTGTCTCCCACTCAACCTTTTAAATTTAGTTGTTGTGAGTTTTGTTAAATCATATTTGGTCCTCTCATCACATAAGAGCTAATTATTGTCTCAAGCCCTGCTCAATGATCAAATTTTACGTATATCTATTTCATTAACGAATACATGTTAGAGTGACAAGAACCTATCATCATTCTACAAAAGAGATGATTAAAATAACTTTATCCTTAATTCTCCTTCTGGCTACCTAATTTCTTAATAAGGAAAGATTTTTCTGTGATGTTTCAATCCACCTCAAGATTTTGCATCCAACATCAAGATGTCACCCTTTACCCCGTTGTCCTTTCCTTTTGTCCCTAGAGGTTAATTGTAAAAATTATGTTTAATAGTTACTAGATTAACTACATATGTTAAGAGTTGGAAGTAATTACTTTTAAAATTTTTTATTATATGGCTCCTAGCTAATAATTTCTCTTTCTATTCTAAGTCTCCACTTCTAAGAACAAAAATACTAGGTCTTATCTTATAAATTCCATGTGACATATATAATAGAAGGAAAATTTAACTTCTCCCCTTGAGTGTGCATTTCAAGCTTCCACTTTTAATGCCGCTAATAGCTCAACATGAACTCTTTTTAAGTTGTTTGTTTATAGGATGACTCAAATTATTATTGAATCACCCTTAATTATTATTAATTTATTCCCTTTGGTACCTAATGAAACAAGCTTTGACATAAGTTTTAGAATGATTAATAAATTGATAGAGGAAAGAGGGATACTCATGGCAACATATTTATGACAACGGACATGTATATTATTATTCAAAGAAGAATGATAATATAGAGATGCAAGAATAATTTAAGGCATGTGACTACATACACTAATAGAAGGAAGCCATTTAACTTTACCTTTCCATGTAGACAAATTCTTGTATAATTTCAACCCAACATGATAGTCTCTATTACTCATTCTTCATATTTAAAAGCATCAAAATTTATATTATTATATAATTTCAAGAAGAGACATGGAAGGTCTAAAATCCTAAAAATTAATTGCATAATTAATTTTAATTGTGATTAGTTAAAGAAATTACTAATTATAAAATATCTAAAGCATTTTTTATATTGGAACCACAATTAAAAGTGGAGAGAGGAGAGGACATCCTAAACATGTTCTCTTATATCACACTTTGGCCATTCCTTATTCAAAATAGAGTGAACACCAACAATTGTTTCTATAATAAATATTTTTTTATTATTTCTACACCTCTAATTAAAAATCTTGTTTTCACCTTTTTTTTTAACAAGCAAAATAAAATTTTTTTCTTATTTGCATAATAAAATTGAAATTTGTATTGATGTTATGGTAATAATTAACTTCTTCAAAGATATTTGTAATGTAACAATTAAATAGAAATGCTTGATATATAATTTATTATTGTATTCTTTTTATAAATCGACGATGATAATAACACAACACATATATATACATGCATATATAAATACCTTTATATTAATGATCCTATCATTCTCAAACTCTTTCTAAGCTATGATTTTGAAATCAAACATTATTTTTTAACATTAATTATATATAATTAATTGCACACATCATGAGGACAATAATACAAGTTTAAATGCCCCTAACCCTTCATGCTAAATCTTCACACTTAGATTTGATTTGTATCAATTGCTTCTATAGTGCCCTTCAATATCTAGTTAATCAAACTAACAAATCATTCTTCATTCTTAAAAAGGCATCCAAATTAGATTTGATTTGTATCAATTGCTTCTATAGTGCCTTTCAATATCTAGTTAATCAAACTAACAAATGATTCTTCATTCTTAAAAAGGCAACCAAAAAAAATTAATGCCTTAAAATTTATGGCTTATCATTTTAACACCATAGAGGAAAATAATTATGTAAGAAAAAAGATTAAAAGAGGAGAATAACTTCTTTCATCTAATCACTTCACGTCACCTCCCACATTACTTACCGAAACTATTGAAGCATAATTTCCTACTCTTTGTCGCACATAGCGTTCCCTAAGAGCTGATGATGTTCATTGTTTTAATTTAATTTGTTCCGCTCCCACATGCCTTGCTATTGCTCTCTCTTTGTTGCTTGTTTGCTACTTTCTCACCCCCTAGAGCGCATTTGCCCTAAGACGTGTTTTGCTGAAACTTA